AAGAAGACCAAGAAACTGCTGAAGGAAGAAAACAGATTTTTTAATAAGGATTAGAAAGTGCAATATTATCTTGTTTCTGCTAAAGATAAGATGATTTGCTTGCTTTGTGATACTGAAATATCAACATTAAAGAAATTCAATGCTCATCAGCATTGTAACACTCATAAGAATCACAAATATTTTAACTTAACAGGAGAAGCATGAAAAGTTGTATTGCAGAAATTAAAAGATGAAAAGCAAAAGCAAAGACAATGCCTTCAAGCAGCAATAAGACCTGGAAATAATGCCACTGAAGCAACTTATAAAGTACCTTATATATTTGGGAAAAAGGAAAGCTATTCAGTAGAGAAATTGTGAAAGAATGCATTGTCAACGTTGTAGGCTGCTTAGACCCTGATAAGGTTTCAAGGTACAAACAACTGCTTTTTTTTTTTTAAGGAAACTATAACTGATCTGCAGCATGAATTATCTTTCAACTTAAGAGAATAACTTCATGTAATATTTCAAAAGGAAAATATATTTTATTCAATCACTTTGGATAAATCAGCTGACACCACTGATTCAGCACAGGTTTTGTATTTTATTCAGGTCATAACACAAGATTTTCTTTGCTAGGAAGAGTTACTCGCTTTGGGCACTCTTGTGAACAGAACATAGGGAAGAGATATCTTCAACAACTTTCAAGATAAATGTCAAGAAATTGGACTGAATTTGGTAAATTTAGTGAGTGTATGTACAGAGAGTATACCTTCCATGACAGGAAAACATGAAGGGTTTGTTGCACAGATAAAAAAAAAAAGTATTAGAGATCTAGATGGTCTCATTTATATTCATTGTATCTTGCATCAGCAAAATCTCTATGCTAAAGCTGCTATTTTAAGTGACATTTTGCAGCAAGTTATAACTATTGTTAACTATATTCCTACAAATGTAACACGGTATGGTCAGTTTCATCACATGCAAAGTTGAATGATGAGGTATCAGTGTGGATTTGATATATCATTCTAAAGTGGACGGGTGTTAACCAAAATTTTATTTCTGTGAGAACAGATAGTTAAATTTATGAAGAACAGAATCAGCAATGTGAATTATTGAATGACAATTTCTATAGAAATGCAGCATTTCTGTGTGATATCATGTGAAATCAAAATGACTTGAATATTTCTTTGCAGGGTAAAATTGAGTCTCTATATGAGATATGTGGCAAAAAATCCAAGCATTTTAAAACACTTCTTCAAAAGGAAATTTCGGATGAACATTTTCCCCAGTTAGCAAAAGTCATTGATAAACAGGATGATATATGTACATCATTTAAAGAATACTAACTGGCCGGTTAGCTCAGTTGGTTAGAGCGTGGTGCTGATAAAGAATACACAGCTGTTATAGACCTATTACTTGCAGAATACAATAAAAAGTTCACTGACTTTGAGAATCATGACATCACATTCAAATTAGCATTGCAGCCTCACCTAGTTGATATCGCCAAGGCACCTAAAGAATTACAGATGGAATTGATTGAGCTCACAGTAGATGACATCTTAAAGTCATTGTTTGATGCTAGAAAGGTCCAACTGAAATACAGAAAAATGCAGTAGAATACCCATGCCTTTGACAACATGCCCTAAAAATGCTTTCTTGCTTTTCAACCACTTATTGCTGTGAATCTACATTCTTCTACCTGGCCCAAATCAAGATGCCCGTAAGGTCAGAAATGACTGATACTCATCTAGAAGATCAACTGAAACTGCAGATCTCCATGCTGCAATCAAATATTCAAACGCTTTCCAACAAAAAGCAGACACTATGAAGTCATTACAAGGTTAGTTAACTTTAAAATTAACAAATAGTTTTCATTTTTTGAAATTATTAAGTACATAGTAGTTAGGTTTTTACAAAATAATGCACATTTTTAAGTATATCTAATTGAAGTTTCTTGAATGCAGCCTTGTTTGATTACAGCTAAATTAATGCAGCCTTCCAACAATGAAAAGGTTCCCCCACACACACCTAAGGCTACGGTAGACATGTATAAAATAAAATCAATAGGTCTCGGTGATTGGTTAGATCCAGATGAGATTCAAAGTGATTAGGCAAAGACTTCAGAGAGAAAGTCACTTTAGATGAGAAGACAAGTTCTGTTCTGAGAGCCTGAATGTGTTGTTCCTGTACAAAACCCACATGGACATTGCCAAAAGGCGGTGACATACACAGGTCTGATGCTCACATATGTAGACAGTAAATAATACCTACGATTTACTGATCATTTAATGAAGTCAAGGAACTTTACATTTGTAATCCTGTTTAATGGCCAGAATGACCTTATGAGGCAGAAATTATTATGAGCAATTTTATAGATGTTGAAGTTCAGGCTAAGTGTCACAGTTAGTAAATTAATTGGGTCACACAGTTAGGAGCAAGGATTCAAATTCTAGGCAGTCTGAGCCCATAGTCTCCAATCTGCTGAGAATTTTATCCTGTGTCATTTAGTTATAATACCATAGAATACAATTCACAAGAGATCAGTGGGTCAGAGACTAAACATTTTATCACTTATAAGAAAACTAAAAGTGCCTTGATTTTAAAATATATGATGAATAACTTATTTGCCTACAAATTTACCATGTTTGATTTGAAAAACATAAGGAATAGTTTGTTCATAAATTATAACTTTATCAATTAAACACTTTTTCTTTCTAATAATTCTAGTTACAAATTAAGATGTAAAGTATAATTAATTCTGATAATTGAATTTTAAATATTTCATATCTTTTGTATAACACATGGTTTTGTTGTTGAATATTTATATCTAGAATCTCTTTGCTTTGACTAATTTTTGAAAAATTTAGCCAAATTTTAGAAACAAAGGAAACTAATAATACCCAAGTGAAAAAGTAAAATTTAACAATTTTAAGGCTTGATAACTTAATCCCATGGTGTTAAGTGAGTGGTTACAGGAGACTATCACTGTCAGAAAAGAAATCTCTTCCATCTCCTGCCATTCTTGATTTTTATGATTAAGAAATGATTATTTTAAAATTATTTAATGTAGCTTTTCCATGGGATTATTGCCTATGTCTATTTTCATTTTCTGACTCTTTATCAGAGCTTTTTGCTTGGTGCCACACTTGAACTTGAATTCTACTCTGAAGCCCTATCTGCTTTATGGGGTCCAAGGTCCCTGCTCTCTCTTCTTGGCCTCCATTTCTATTTTCTGTACCAGGAGTCTGTTTAGATATTGTTGTATGGTGGTTGTTTAGATACAAAGCCAGACATTATTTAGTACCCGACACTGCCACCCACATGCTTAAGCACTGCCTATCACCCATATACACTAATGCTGTCTTCACTCAGACCTTTGCAGTTATAACTGGATGACTCTCAGGGTCTGGCTGCTATAGCCCGAATAGGCCTCTGAGAAGTGTTCTCACATATATGTAGCTTCTCTCTTTGGGCACCAGCTTGCCACAGAATTCCCAACATGGCTCTTAGCAGATGTTGATATAATTGTAAATTGCCTTTAGTATGCAAGGACTATAATCACATAGGAGGGTATGTGTTATATAAATCTTCCCATTTGCAAGTATGTTAGAAAATATTTTGAAGAACTAAATTCCAAGGTGACAAAATAAATGAACCTGGTTTTTTTGCCATAAAGCAAAATTTTCTTTCCTTTTTAAAGAAATGAAACATCCTTTATAATTCATAGCTAGAATCTCTCCTAGAATTCAACTAACTAAGTTATAATTAAGTTGTTACAAGACCAGTAACTACAAATAGAGAGATAGGCAGGTCCTCTAGGCTTATTTAACACAGCCATCAAGGCACTCTCTGGCTCTTCCTCTTGTTCTCTCAGTTGTGCTAATTAGCCCCTTCCATAACTCATATCTAGTCTTAAGCAGATTCAGAGTCTTTCTATTCATGAGGCCAGTCAGGTACCTTCCCAAGTGACATTTTCTGAAAAAGCCCAGATAACTAACTAAAATCTAACTAAAATCACCTCATGCCAACCCTTCAATATATCTGCAAACACCATTAAGTAGTATTATGACTTACTTAGCTAATAGAGTTGTGATTCATTTCATGAATAACCACATCTGTTCGCCATCTATTGTCAACATAACAAGAATAGAGTGTTTCATTTATTTTTAGAGTAAACAAATATTTATTGAGTGATTATTGCCCAAACTCTAGGCACACTACAGGCACTGAGAATACATAAAAGAAGATCATAACATAGATAAAGTCTCTGCCCTCAATGAGTCTAAAAATTTTGTTTTGTTTTGTTTTGTTTTGTTTTGAGACAGAGTCTCACTTTGTTGCCCAGGCTACAGTGAGTGCCGTGGAGTCAGCCTAGCTCACAGCAACCTCAAACTCCTGGGCTCAAGCAATCCTTCTGCCTCAGCCTCCCGAGTAGCTGGGACTACAGGCATGCGCCACCATACCCAGCTAATTTTTTCTCTATCTATTAGTTGACCAATTAATTTCTTTCTATTTATAGTAGAGACGGGGTCTCGCTCTTGCTCAGGTTGGTTTCAAACTCCAGACCTCAAACGATCCGCCCGCCTCGGCCTCCCAGAGTGCTAGGATTACAGGCGTGAGCCACCGCGCCCGGCCATGAGTCTAAATTTTAATGTATACTGATGAAGGGGGTGAAGTATCAAACAATGTATTAGCCAGGGTATAGGCTAGGTTATGCTGCAGGAAAATATATCCCCAAAACTTAATTGGCTTCCGAAAACAATGGTTTATCTCTCATTTTCACTCCCTGCCCTTTGGAGGTGAGCTGGGTCTCTGCTCCAAGTCTCTTCACTCTGAGATGCAGGCTAGAAAAGTAGCCACTATCTCAAACATTGTGTGTAACTAAAGAAAGCATAGAACAAAAGTGCCCTAGAGAATCTTGCACTAGTAATTCAAAGCCTGGGCCTGGAAGAGATAATCCTTACTTTTTCTCCCAACCCAAACACCAGAACTAGTCATGCGAACTTACCCAACCTCAAGGAGACATATGCCTCAGAGGCATAGAAGTAGAATATCTGAACAGCTTTAATGACTGCTAGATACATGCAAGCTCTGAGGGTAAGGAGGAAATAGGTGGAGGCCTCCAATGTGGTGAACTCTGTAAGGCCCACAGAATAGCACCCTTGGAGTTCTGGGCATCCAAGATGAAATCCTGCAAGTGAAGGAAAAGGGGATAAAGGTCAGAAGAGTGGGGGATTACATTTATTGGTTATCTACCCTGTCTCAGTCACTTTAGTTTTATTATATTCTTCAAACATTTAAATTTAAGATATTGAGGAGGAAAACAAAATGTTTAGGAATGAATAAGGGAGCTCAAGGTATTCCAAAGGTAAACCACACTCACTGAGCAACTTGGTACCAGACATAACATGACACATGCAAACCAATAGCTATGACCTCTGACTAGGTAAATGCATTCTCCAAGGCTTCCCTTGGCTCTTCTAGCAGAGATCTGGGGAGAAGATACAAAATGTGACTCTTAGAAATACCTAAGAGAACAAAGCTCACTCTGCTTTCATATCCACAACTTTAATTCAGAAACATATCAGGACTTTGTGTGCTCTGCCTGCAGCCTTCCTACAAATGTCAACTTTCTTCCTACTTTCATTATACAAAGTGTTGGGAGCAGAGGCATGAAGCTTGGAACGAGGCCAGCAAGAGCTCTGGGTTTTTTTTTTTTCACTTTTTTTCTTCTCTCTTTACTCATGTTTCTTCCACATTTGGATTTCTAAATTGCTTCTTCTTCCTACATCTTTCTGATATCTCATTCTCACTAACCCATTCTGTTCATTCCTCTTCTTCTGGTATTGAAAAGATAAAGCACTCTTACAATAATATAGTTCTTTTTTGGTTCTTTTTTAAAGCTTTTTAAAAACATGTATTGCCTTATTATATCTTAGAATTAAAGAGTGCAGTAAAATGTTAAAAGATAAAGATGATGCCATTGAGTAAACACATTTTGGAGAAAAGAATTGGTATACCAATTGCTATGCTAACATTCAGATAGCTCAAAGCATTTGGAAACCATTCCCTAAGTTTAGCCATCAATTTTGGCCCAGTTTTTTGGACTTGAATATCAAAAACTAAACTTGTGAGTTCGGCAATTTTACATTGTCACATAAGTATAATACTGAAAACAAAGAGGGCCGTATCATAGGATCCCTGAAATGAAATGAATCTTTTGGAAGATAAAGCAGGATTGGTCAAAATGCTGTGAAATTACATGTACAGGGAAATTGGGAAGAACTATATAATGGCAGTTAATACTTGATTATCAAAGATAATTTTGGAGAGTCAGTAGAACTAAAGTAAGTTACAGAAAACCCCAAACCACACATAGTTCAAATAAAACTACAGTTAACTGTTCATTAACACGCAGTAGATTAGCCACTTTGCATATCAATCCAAACATCAGATAAACTACAGCTGGGATCTGAGATAATCTCATTTCCCAATGAAGCTCAGCCATTATATAATTACAAGATTGAAATTGAAGGACAGCTCTCCAACGTGCAGAAGCTGAGAAGCCAAACTTTGGGTAGGACTGTTGATGGAGTGCATAAAGTGTGCTAGATTGCAGGACTCCAGACATGCCCCCTGTCCTCCAACCACTGGGTTGCAGATGATCAGGGCTAATGATCACAACTTGATTGCATGCCCCTGTAGGGGAAGTGACCTAATCCCAAATTCCTACTGCACCTTAACCACTTCCATGTGAAAACAGGCTAATCCACCTTCAGATAATCAGGAATTAATTGTATGCATGCCTGTGCATGCATTTTAATACCTAATTAGAAATAAAAGAAACAATTTTTCATACTTAAAGGCCTAGAAATTCTGTTTATGACATACAAAAAATGCTTTTTAGCCCTCATCTTTTAATCCAAATGTAAAAATGCAAATACTATTGAAGAGCATCCCTACCAACTGCTTTTAAGCTTTTTGAAACTGATGATTATTTTTTAAATGAACATGAATTTACTTTTCAAGGGAAATTTTATCATTATCATTAATTGACTCAAACAATAATATTGTGTACTTATCATACATCAAGCCAAAAAGCATCCACCATTTAAAAATATAATGGATTATGACTCTTTAATAGAAACTTGTATACTTAATAGGAAATATTTAGGACATTATTCCCCAAAACTGACAAGTGCAGCACAAAAGCATGTACTGGACATGTAGGACTCAGAATAAAAACACATAGGAGCAATGAATCAAAGGTTTATGTTCTAGAACAAAGAACACATTGTAAAAACAGATTGTACAATAAAGGATAATTCCATCAATATGCAAAAATTTCAATTTTATTGAGAGAGAGTTTTCTTATTTGTGATAAAACAGCGAACAATTTAGTGGTATTGACCAGTACTTTTCAATTTTTTATATAGGTTGAACCTTCTCTCCTTCTCTTATCTGACTCAAGATATCTCCCTTAGTCTAGAATATGGGGTTGGCAAACTATGTCCTGTGGGCCATATCCATGCCCCAAACTAAAAATGGCATTTATATTTTAAAACTGCAGTCCCCAAGCCCTGGGCTATGGACTAATACTGGTTGTATGGCCTGTTAGAAACCAGGCCACACAGCAGACAGGCAAGCAAAGCTTCATTTGTATTTATAGCTGCTCTCCATCACTCTCATTGCTGCATAAGTTCCACCTCCTGTCAAATCAGTGGTGGCATTAGATTTTCATAGGAGCACGAACCCTACTGTAAACTGTGCATGTGAAGAATCTAAGTTACACGCTTCTTATGGAAATCTAATGCCTGATGGTCTGAGGTGGAGCTGAGGCAGTGACGCCAGCACTGGGGAGCGGCTGCAAATACAGATCATCATTAGCAGAGACGTTTGACTGTACAGTAAATGTAATGTGCTTGAATCATTCCAAAACCATCACTACTGACCATGGAAAAACTATTTTCCATGAAATTGGTTCCTGATGCCTAAAAGGTTGGAGATCACTGTTTTAAAAGATTATTAAAAAAAAAAAAAGAAGACTATACAACAGACTGCATGTGTCCCACAAAGTCTAAAATATTTACTAGCTAGCCCATTATAGAAAAAATTGTTTACCTCAGTCTAGAATATTCCTAGACTCCTTCATCTTCTTCACTCTTCAAATCCAAATAAGTGTCTGCCTTCTAATATCTCTGCCACAAGTCTCCTCTTTTTTATCCTCTTTGCTAACTGTCCTTACTTTGACTCTACTGCCTCTTGCCTAACATGGTCATCTGCTTCCAGGCTCACCCCTCTCCATTATAGACACTGTAATGTCACCAGAATAATCTTTTAAAGAACAAGTCAGCAAGTCCTTCTCAGTAAATCTTTTCTTGACATCCCAAGACCACTACCACCTATGTGCTTGCTTCTACTGTGCAGATGTCTATTGCAACCCTCTTCACATCGAGGATTTATTGGTTATGTTAGCTTTCCCACCAACATGGGATCTACCTTGATGGTAGATACAAGCACAGCACCTGCCACACAGAAAATGTGTGAATGAGTTTAATTCAGTGTTTTCTGAGTATAGATTTTAATAGAGTAAAAAAATAGAAAAAAAAGTCCCTAAGATCGTGGATATCTTTGGAAGAGAAGAGGCAGGTATGTGCTACAAAAAGGATGTTTGGCAAAGTCCACAAGAAGAATTGAAAACCAACTGACTAAGAGAACTGAAACCACCTTCTCAACTGCTTTTCATGCTAATGTCTCCCTTCATGAATGCATTTAAATACATAAATTTTTTAAATTTAAATTATGCACAAGAGTAAGCTGTGTTCTTTACATATTTTGTCAGTTATTTTCATTTTATAAAGTTGGCATATCTGTGAATATAGAACTGCAAATTGACAGAATGGGTGCATTTTTCACATGGAGAACAAGAATCAAAGGAAGACAGGAGGTCTCTCCCCCTCACCACAGACCCAAGCTGAGACAGTGGGCACTGTATTGTTATTCCACCCATTGTGTGCCTTTGTCCTCCCCAGGAAGCTTCAGCCCTTCAGTTTTCTTGTCACCGGTCCCCATACAAACATTTCCCAACACGTGTGCCCAGCCTGTGTGGCCACAGAGGACTAGTAGGTCCCTGGGGAACTGTGTAATTCCAGAGCTTGGACATTCAGGATGGGCTGCCTTCAGGGGAGAGGAGGGTACAAAAAGCTGGGGGAGGGGGCCTTGAGACAAAGGGGACCAGAGTGTGCCAGCTCTCCTCCATTCAGACTGTCCTCCTAGTCCTCCCTCTCCTGCTCACAGCTGCTAATGTAGCCATGAAAGTTCCTATAATGAGTGCCATAAGAGACAATTGACCTAGAGCTTTCGGGAGTGGCTGCTTCTTTTGTGTTGGGGCACCCACCACACTGAGGCTCCCACAGAGAGTGGGGTTCACACCTTTCCCCTTAAAGACCAGCAGCAAACAAGGGGTGCTTAGACTGTGAGCTCTCTGCCTACAGGCCCTCCCCAGTGCTGTCCATCTGGCTACTCCAGCAGAAGAGGGCATACCCCAAAGCAGAGGAACATTAAGCCTGCTTGAGCACTCCATAGGCAACTCAGACCAGCACACTTCTCCCTGGCACACTCAAAGATTGAACTTGGGGGATCAGAGGACAGACCCACAGGCTAGATACTGTGCCTCCAAGACTCAATCATGTTGCACAGAGGCATGAAAGGGAAAATTGTGAACTAATGTTGGGAGTCAAGGGAGCCCAGGCAGGCAGAACTGAAAGGAGAGTGAAGTATGGGTCTGAGCTACTGCATATTTGTGGAGCACTCCTCACCCAACAGGAAAGCTGCACTTTCTGTCCCAGGTGGGATCCTGGGCAGGGAAGCTCCCAAGCTGTGGTGCCATTGCTGGTGAGCTAAGCTAATTTTGGCTGCTGCTGATGGCCAGATGCCAGAGGAGATCTACAGTCAAGGAAAGAGAGAGAAGAATAAAACTCACTGCTGACTGCTAGACCGTGAATCTCAGATTACCCATCCCCAATAAGCAAACTTTCTGGGTTGGTGGTGAGGCCTCTGCCCCTCCCTGGTGGCTTTCCCCAGCAGCTTGGCAGCCACCCCTTGACCTCTGCCAAGACAGCTCTTATGACTGCCTTCGTGGATCCTGAATGCAGACTTGTCCAATCTAGCCCCATCCAGCCTTGCTTCTCA